TTGGTCTGACAGGACCTGCCACTGATGAACCCGTGCTGATTGCCCCTAAGCATGCAGTCCCCTGCTGTCCCCTCCTGGATGTGTGCCAGAATTATTTTCTCAAACAGCTTGCCTAGGATCGAGGTAAGACTAACTGGCCTATAGTTTCCCGGGTCCTCCTTCCTCCCTTTTTTGAAGATTGGAACCACATTGGCCCTCTTCCAGTCCTCTGGCTGCCACTACCCCACTGCCAAATTTCCAGACCCGTGGGTAGCCCTACAGGCTGGATGACATGCCCCTGCCCACCGGATTGTGTCTGCATGTGGGGTTGCTCTGCAACTGGGTCTGGTGCATGGAGTCAGACCAGTGCAGACAGTCATTCTGCAGCAGGATCCAGTGCACAGGGCTGGGCCACCACATCTGGTCACACCCACGAACCAGCTTTGCACACCAACCCCACACTGGCTCAGGCATATAGGCTGACTGCATGTGATCCAGCCTGCAGACCAGCCCTGAGCCACTCATCCAACCCACAGAGCCATATAAGTTGAGCACCACTGGGTGCAGCTGCTCCCGGGACCTTTTGCTCTGTCAAGGTGTAGTGTAGCAGGGTTCCCACCCCACCCCAGCCCAGGGACAGGCAGAAACTGCACCCTTCTTTCTCCCTCATGTCAAAGGAAGGGAAGTCATATAATCCTTCACAACTAGTGGAAATCAGAGCAGCACATGAAGCAACTCTGCCATGCACTAGGAAGGTATGTTGGACTGAGGAAGAAGAGGAAGTGGCCATGTGGATGGGAGGAAGAGTCCCTACCCAGTAGAAAATGCGGTTGTCACTTTAAGAAGAGGGAAAGAGACCCCTGCACTTGGTGAGGAGGGAAAGCAATGCTGACCTGAGCAGAGAGGAGTAGCCATGCTGGGGTAAAGAAGAAGAGGTGACTAAAGCAGTGGCCACAGCCACACTGGGGTGAGAAGAAGGGGGCCCGGTTGGGACCTGAGCCCCAGGTCTACCCAGTGACACAATGTGGGGCTGGCTGTTCAGCTATTTCTGTTTCATGGCCAAAAAATTCAGACTCCTTCCTCAGAGGAGCCCAGAATCTGGCTCCCTTTGAGGGGCAGAAACAATGTCTGCAGCCATTGCACACACATGCCCAAGAAGAAGGGAGAAGCAGGGGCCCAGCGCAGCTGAGTCTGAGTCTCTGAGAGGGTGTATAAGACTCTAGCAGGGAGGGGTTCATACACTGTACTTGTAGTGCAACACAGCTAGTGGGATCCAAGCCCTGCTGTGCCAGATGCGATAGGCTCAGGTACAACAGGCAGGCCCTGCCCTACACAGCTTGCCATCTAAGTGGCAGCATATATAGTGCAGCCCCAGGAGTGAGCGTGTCCTCCACCCACCAAAGCAGCTTCTTCCCTGCCCAGGTGATTCTGCTTTGCTGGCTCTAAAGGTGACCTGGTCTCTCAGTGCAGGACTTTCCCCAAGCCACCTTTCTTTGCCTGGCTGAGGTTACTCTCCCAGCAGGGGAAACATGGTAGCTCCTGCACCCCAAACACAGCAGTACTGGTGAAGCCCCAATATGGTGGGGAATTGGGTTGTCTCCTGCCTCCCCCCACCATGATTCCTGCAATGCTGCTCAGTGGCCACCCCAGCCACAATGTCACAGCCCTCATGGTGCCCCTCCCATGTGCCCCCTCACCTCTTTCCCTCGTGTCAGGGCCTCAGGCCTTGTGCATCCCTGTGTTGGGCTGGATGCCAGCTGGTTCCCATCCCTGACCAGTCTGTTCCACAGTCACCATCATCACTGCGCTGCTTCCTCTCCCCAGCCACTTGCAGTTTCAGACTTGCTCTGTGCAAAGTGCCAAAGAAGGAGGGGCGGGGGCGGGGCAAGCCAGTGCCAGTGCCAGTGCCAGCTTCCCTTCCTCCAAGCAGCAAAGCTGCATAATATACCTCTTGGAGAAACTGCTCCTTGGACGGCCACAGAGCCAGCCCCTGTGGGGAGTGCAGCCTCTGCCAATTCATGCTCTGTGGACCTGTCCCTCTGCCCCCAGTAGCCTTCTTCTCCCTCTGTCTCTGGACAGGCTCCTTGTCCTTCCCTGGTTCCATGTCAGACACATTCTGCCCCTCTCCTGCCCGTATCTTAGGCCCTTGAAATAGGCAACAAACTCTCAAAGCCCTCAGGGGATGCCCATTCCCACTGTGACATTCCCACAGAAAGGTCTGCGGAGCTGCAGGGGAGATGGCCTGCTCCGGCTCAGCCTGCTGCATGAAGGCAGTGAAAGCAAGGAGTCTGCTGGGGGGAGAGGGAAATTGCTGGCACTTGCATCACACGTGGATGAACTCTCCCTTCTGCTCTTCTTGGCTTCTGTCTCTCTTTCCCAGTTCTTCTCCCAGCCCTGGGACAGTGCTCACTAGATTCCAGTTAGGGTGGCCAGGGACAAAGCCTCTCTGACTCAGGAGGAGAGTCATAGCCCCTTGCTGTGCAGCTCTTTTGGGGATACCTCTGGGGAACTGGTTTTATTAGCGTTTCTCTGCATCAACCAGCTTCCCTGATAACACATTGCATGGAGACAGCAGTGTTGCGTTGCACTGACCCAACCTCATAACCTTGTCCTGTCTGTGCAGCCCCAGCTGCCCTGTGCTGCCTGCCCCTCTGAGGTGTCTGGCCCAGGAATCATCTCACCAGAAATCCAGGTGACTTCACTTTCTATTGTAACACCTATATATACACTGAGCTGTGTTTTGTGGGTTTTTTTCTCCCTCTGCATGTCTTTTGATATGGGCAAGATGACCCCTGTTGTTCTGGCCACGTGCTCAGCACATGGCAAGCTGGGGCCCATATCTGGGGAAAATATGTAAAGCCCTTTGGGCTCATTGGGCAGAAGAAGCAGAGGATTCTTCAGGGAGATTGGTTGGGAGAAAGACTGAAATGTGACCCTCCCAGACTGGACAAGGCTTGGGTGATTTCACACCAGGTGTATACAAAATGTAGACAAGGCTTGGGTGATTTCACACCAGGTGTATACGAAATGTGGACAAGGCTTGGGTGATTTCACACCAGGTGTATATGAACAACTCACTAAGGGTCTGGGGGTCTTAATTCATCTGCCTGCTGAGAGCTGTGCAGCTATACTGGGAACCAGAAAACCTGCTCCCCACGGGCAAGGAAGTTCTCCCCCCCTCTTTGCTGGAGAGGCAAGCAAACACTATTTGAAGGGAAAGCCACAGGTAGAGGGAGAGAAAGTCTGTTTTGGAGTTTGAGACTCCTATTTCCTCCCTCTTACTTTTCTTTTTTTCTTAAATGGGTTAACACCATGGGGGATTTTAATTGCCCAGGAATGGGTGCTGGCAGTTACTGGCTCCAGGGGCCTGGCCCCCTCTGTTTTGTAATTGTACTGTCTCAGCATGGGATATAGCTGAGACCAGATGTCCAGGCCACAGCCATAGGTCTGGGCCTTTTTTTCTGCTGTTTCTACATCTATGGTGTTTCCGCCTAGCTGCGTGGCTGAACCCCAGCTATATGGTCATGCCTCAGTGCAGTATAGGCCTGGCCAGCTTTTGCTGCCCAGCTCAGACCAGGTGAGGTAGGTTTAACCTGTCCTTCAGAGTTTTCTTTTTGAAGTTTCTGCGCGGTCCACAGGACCGCAGGAACCTTTTTAATTGTGCCCCTTAGGAACTGTTCTCTGTGAGGGCTGCCTCTGCTCCCAGCAAGCCAAAGACTTTGTCTCTGGGAGCCACTCTAGTTAAAGTGCCTGGAGTGTCTCATGTATCAGAGTCTCCACGCTGAAAAATGGTGGTGGGGACGCTTTAACTAAAGCTCGTCGAATGAGCTTTAGTTAAAGCAACCCTGCCATCATTTTTCAGCGCAGAAATGCTGACACATGAGATGTGGGAGTCTGCTCTGACACACTGTAGTTACAGCATGTGCCCAAAGGAAAACAAAATCTTGCTCAATGTCCTCTATGAACCTCATTGAAGCATATGGTGGGTCACATGGCATGGGTCCATCTCCATCTGTGATCTGGGCTGGGGGTGGCTGGATCGCATAACACTTAAAAGACCTTTGTGGAACGGGAGAAACACAAAGCAAGAGCTGTGACACTGCAGTGGGCTTGTATGAAAGCCGTTGTGAAATCCCCCGGGGCAGCCATATTTGGAGTGTGTGTGTGAAATGCTCACAAACACCTCTCCCCACCATGTTTGCGCTTACAACAGCAGGGAGTTCAGCAGCAGAGCAACCCAGCAGAAGTGCCACAGGTCATCTTGGAGATATGAGCTGTGGAGAGTATGGGGAATTTTTGTGTTATTTTTAAGGAACGTGTCTCTCAGTTTCTCCCACTCACTCTTCTACGATGACCTGCTAGGACAGAAAGGGATATTTCCTTCTCTGCAGCTGGGTGATGAAATATGTGTGTGTCACATAGGCACATCAGGGTTGGCATGAATGAACTCTCAAGAACCAACAAGATATGAATGGAGCTATCTCAGCAAAATGGGAAAATCAAGAACATGTGAAAACTGCAAAAGTAGAACTTCAGGCAAAGATCTGAGGTTTTGGGATGTAGTAATAAGCCCTTGGCTGCCCAGTGCAGTGAGGGAAAAGGCATCCTTGACGTTCTGGACCAGGGAGGCAGGTTGTGCAATCAGGTGCGTAGCTTAGCTCTTCCATTAAACCTAAAGACTCTAAAATCCTTTGCTCCAAATGACAGCTGTCCAGTTTTGGCTGTGCCATGGCACACATCTGCTGGCTACCTGGTCACCAAAGGGAAAACTTCAATTCTGGTTCTTTTGGACTTGCTGGAAGAACCACAGCGAGACATGCTCCTGCTAAAGCCAGGACCCAGTCTCAGTTGTGGAGCCTTGAGGCTTCCGCTTGGAAAAGCTGGACACCTGCAGCCCAGCACTAAAAGGAATATAATCCCTGACAGCCTATGTAAGGGTTGGAGGCACCATATACCCCATGTATCCACTGTCTGGTAGGGAAATCTTGTACAGGCAGTCCTCGGACTTGCAACACAATTGGTTCCTGAAAAACCACATCTTAAGTCAAAACATTGTATCTTGGAACCAATTTTCTCATAGAAACAATGTTATAAATGGGGGATTGATTCCTGAATCAAGGCCCGATACACTATTTTCACCAAAAATAACCCAGAATTTTGTACTCAATCAATTATAGATGAGTAATATAGCTACATTAATGTATTTATATTGTAAATAGCACTCATATTGATTTGGAAGGACTTCTTTGAGGTGACTTTGGTGGACTTGTTGAAGGGTTGTTGGCTGGCATCTTCTTAGAAGTCTTGACTGCAGGTTTTCATGGAATCTTGTCCGCCTTCTTAAAGAAAGTGTCCAGGGAAATTTGGACAGATGTTCTCCAGGGAGATGGGCTACCTGGCGAATTTGTTTGCTGGTGTGGTATGGCATTGGATCAAGCATCGTTAAGTTGAAACTGAGGTCAGAAAGTTGAAACATGGTGTCAATTTATAAACATCGTAAGTGCCATTCGTTGTAACTTGAAACATCTTAAGTCGAGGACTGCCTGTACTCTACATCTCCACAATTTGCTCAGCTCTAGCCAGTATCATCTCCCTTGCCCTGCTAGAGACACCAAATTCATATTGTGAAGCCCACAGTTTAAAGAAGACAGACTGTGAATTCAGTGTGGAGATTCCTCATAGCTTTGGAGTTTTATTGTTAATTGACATAGAAAGTGCATCTCATAAGAAACCAGCAATATGGAGCCTTTAGAAAAATCACATGTAAACTGTAACTAAAAACAGTGAGCACCCCCATAGGGAGGAGTAAGACACTTGAGGGGAAGATAGTAGGGAGTGCCCTGCAAGCTCCGAGATGCTGAACTCATGAAAAGAACTAGGTGTGCTTCAGGATAGGAGGAGCCTGGACTCCATTGGGCTTAGCCGGGGCATTCTCCACAGGGCAGAGCTGAGAGCTCCAGGATGCTACAGTGCTGGGGACCTGCTCAACATATGATGTTGCAGCTGAAACCCTTGAGAAACCAAAACTGTGTCAACTAACTGCAAAGCACCATGGGACTGCAGCACTGGAAACTGTGGAGACCACAAAAGATCTATTGTGGCTGAGGCCACATGAACCCTGTGGTTCTCACCTCCCCCAACTCATGCTGTGCCGGACTGAGTGTAGCTAGAGCACTGGGCTCGGCATTAGGGTTGAGGCCTAGCAGTCTTTTAAAAAGAGGCTGGGAACTTTCTATGGTTCAGAGAGGGAGGGAAGAAAATTGCTTGAGAGAGTGCCAGAATCTCAACTGGAGCTTGCCTATATATTTTGGCCTCTCTGAAATCCCAGCCCCTCTCCATAGCATGAGGCAGAAGAGTTTGGGATTGTGGCTAGATACATGAGGCTACTCCCTGCTTTGGTACAGCCTCAGTCAGATGCACAGGGAACTTCCTGTAGTTGCCACCATGGGACAAGATGAAATCAGTGTGACAGTGAAGACTGCAAAAGAAGCCAGCAAAGGGAATGATTTAAATCCAGAGGCTCTTAGCTCAGTGATCTCCAGTCCCGGCCCACTGCCACTGTCTGGGACACAATGTCTTGCATAGCTCCTCTCCACATGCTCCCAGCCATTTCCCTGAGGAGTACAAGGACTTCTAGGCGAGTGAATGCCAGACTTAATGCAGCCCTTGGAGTTCAGTTTCAGGCTGGGTCTCTGTTGCAGGCCCTCACAGTTGCTTTTGTGAAGCTTGGCTTGGAGAAGCATGTGGCGAGTGGGGTTCAGCACTGCGGCTGTCAGCAGGCCCTGTACGATGGTGTCTCTAGACAAGAGAGAGGAGGAAAGCAACAGAGACAGAAGCCAACAATGTAGCACAAAGCAGGGCAGACCAGGCCTCAC